AAATACCCCCGCCGCAGCAAACCTGCCGACTAAGCGAATTTCCATTTGTCTGAATTGATTTTCAGTTAAATATATTTTAATAACATTAGGTTTAACGAGTACCTAGGTTTGCTGCTACAAGGAACCTAATAAAGTGTGTTTTTGAGTAAAATATTGATAGCTTAGTACAAAATAAATAAATTTGCCAAGTTTGATCAAAATATATCCATAAAGCAAATTACAACATTTGACAATATTCTCCATAAGAATAACATGGGAATTTTAAATTTACAATTTTTTAATTTTCTCCGTTACTAATAATCGAACAAAAATACTTTTATATACTAAATTATTTGTTTTTTTAAGCTCTTTAAAAAGGTCTAAAGAGAAATTGGGAAATTTTGTGTTTTGAGGGTCAAAAGTGAGAAAACCAAATTTTTACCCCATAAAACCCCCCGTAAAGCCCCGTTCCCATGGTCCGATCATGCTGGTTCGCGAACTCATTCAAGTTTATCTCGCTTTACACCTTTAAACCAAATTTCATCAAAATCGGACCAAAATTACTCAAGTTATCGCGTTCACGGACGTATATATATATATATATATATAAATCTATATCTATATATATATATATATATATATATATATATATACATATTTATTTATTATTATTATTATTTGTTGTCATGAGAGCCGAAGCCCCCTGACTGCTTACCCGGTACCTATCCTTCAGGACATACCCGGGCCCCATGATGTAGGCCGAAGCTTACGCATCAACCTTTAGCACATCATGGGCGGATGACTTAAGGTCATCAGGCTCGCCGGCTGCCGAAGCAGACCCTTCGGAAAGAGGGTTGCCCCTCAATCCTAACCAGGGATTCCGGCTGCTTGTTTAAGCGTCACTCCACCTGGGTTCCACTAGGTCGGAACCTAGAGGTCCATAGTAGAGCACCCCGACGCATTTAGTGCAAGCAACACTCGGGACCTATCTCATCCCTGACAGGCAGAACCCGCCATCAATAGCCAGGAGGAAGGGGACCATCAGCACACTGACGGGGGGAACCCCAACCTCCCATTTACACCGCTGCCCGATCGAGGCCTTACCCATTGCTGGGAAACCAGAGATAACCAGAGCGATCTCTGGTTATAAAAATATAAAAATATAAAAAAATTTTAACGAATAGTGTTTTTGGCCTCTGGGGACATCAAAATGAAAAAGTAAATCGGTCCAGGGTCTAGGTCTTACCGTGCCACCTACGGTATTCGCTAAAAAAACTAATAGTTACTTGCCCAAGTGCATTTTCCACGAAATTGATTTTCAATTTATGTTTCAACTCAACAACTGCAAACATAGCCCTGCTTTGACGGTTTAAAACTATTATCTTTCCACAAAGCATATACACATAAGTTTACACACTACTCTTTTCCGAATGCATTCTAAAGCATTAATTTAACACAGTGATTTCGATCATTACAAATTCTTACCAGTCCGTACATTTATTTGTTAGTTGAAATTCTGTAGCTCTTGGTTCCAATATTTTATTTCACAAGGTAAAGACTCGGCTGGGTTGTGTTTTCTAGGATTTAAGGAGAACTTAAGGCTTTAAGCCAGAGGTGGAGTGAAATACAAACAGTCTGAAACCGGCCAAGTTTGGGACTAATAGCTACTCACATGTATTCGTACTGTATTACTCTATGCAATTAAATCCATTTTACATCGTCATTATTTTATATACTCCCTAATGTAGACACATGGTTTACTTTTCAACATCAAGGCTTTTCTCAATTGTTTTTACTTAATCATTAATTCAAAAAATGTGTTGGCTGTCTTTATATTTCTTTAACATGGTTATACATTTCACAATATACATTAAAATCCGAGCTAACAGTTTTTTTTGCATTGTTATTATTACTATACCTAGAATTATAATTGTAAAACTTGGTTTTCTTCAGTTTGGTCTCTTGACTCAATGTTATGATCGATTAATTACATGATTAGCAATTTTTAAATTTACATGGTACATAAATAGCGTGAATCTGTTTAAATTAAAATCTATCAGCCACAGCTTTGTTTACGGAAAAATATAGAGAAAAACTAGATTAATTCAACTTATATCTAACATTGTCCATTAATTAACTACACTTGAACTATTAACAGTCCACATCTATAGTATTGTATTAAAATTTTTTTTTTTTGAGATATCAAGAAAGTGTAATGATTAGTGGATCCGTCATCCTAGAAGACGTTATAACTGCACCGGTCTTGTAAACGTGTCAGCCATACAACAGCGTTGAACAACCATTCGGTGTCCCTGAAATTTCAAATAAAATGTAATAAGAAAAAGTTCTGCCATCGCAGTAACATACTGTTTTATAAGCGTTGGTTTTACCATATAGCACTTTACATCTTTAATAATACATTTCGCGTATACATTTCATATGATGCTATTATATAGGAACAATATCATTCGGGCAACGGTGCAAAAATATCGTTACAAAATTAAAATACCCCTATTTAAAGATTAACATATAAGTTTTGTATCGTAATGCAGTGCGATTGTCCATTTAAATAATTAAATGTGTCCAGCTTATGGTTGGTGACCCACAGCCACAACCACAAACCACAAACCCCCTACCACAAGCAAAACAAAGCAAGGTATTATGAAGTGAACATGATTGTCGTAATGTGACTTTCATACTAATGTTAAATATGGATAATTGTTTACTTGTTTTTTATCAAGCGTTACTGTCACATAAATTCTTCTTGTGTAAGGAAATAAATTAACTTCATTGGTACCTGAAAAACCCATTGTTTAACATTATCTTTAGCGTATCTAATAGGATGATAATTGTAAGGGAGTAGGCATACGTAGTGAAACGTTCGTTGATCACTTAGAACTTTTTATCATCTATTAGATTAGTAGGTTAATCATCTTTTATGTGCATTGATAATATCTAAACTTGGTTGGTGAGCTATAAACAATTATGTGGTTTTAATTAGGTAGGCGCACTATTAATCAGTCAGGGTTGTTGAAACCGTTATAGCATACGACCAAGCTTATGCATCTAAAGGCTCGTCATCTAGATACTCGATATCAAGAGAGATTCAAGAGATTTATGATAACATTCAGTAATAAATACATTAGGTAACGTCAAAGCTATGCAAAGAAATAAATCACACCAATTTATATAAATAAATTAAATGTTCCCCATTACAAACCATGCTGAAATTGGTTAAACTCACATAGCAAACAAAACAGCAAACCATACAGTTATGGCAAAAAAAAAATAAAAATAAAAATAAAATTGTGACACATATACCTGAGTATAAAAATAAAATTACAAAACAAAACAATGGCCAGTCTGAAGAGCATTGTAAAACTCAACAGATTCATAAAAAGGATTCGTTTCGAGCCAATCTTTAACAATTTTGGTAAATTTAGACTTCCGCAACGACTGAACACTTTCCGGGAGAGCATTGTAAAACTGTATGCCTGTAACAGGAAAACAGTTGTTAGTTTTACTCAATCTATTGCTACTTAGATGTGCATTGTTTCTATTTCTTGTGAGATATGAGTGGACATCCTTGTTGTAAACAAGATCTTCTTCCTGTCCTTAATAGCTAACAAATATTGCTAAATATAAACATGTATGTAAATATAAATATACAACAGTCATAATGCGAAGTTCAGCGAACAAATTCTTCAGATAGTGAACCTGTCATATTACTCGGATAGCCTTTTTTTGATGGAGCAGTACTTTCTGAGCTTGCGGGGAGTGACCCCACAGGAGTGTGCCATATACAATATGGGCCTGGAAAAAAGAAAAGAAAGCAAGTCTCAGAAAGTTAAAAGGTAGTTCAGAGGTCAACTTCCTCAAAAGATGCCTAACTCTACTTAATTTTACACAAAGTTCATCTATGTGGTCATCCCACGCAAGCTCCGAACCCAGGGTGAAACCCAGCAATCTTACAGACTCATCACTGGAAAAATATTTATTAAACATGATTTCTTGAGTTTTGGTCGCATTCAAGGCCAATTTATTTCCATCAAACCATTGAGACGTTTTATTGAACAATGTGCTAACAGATTGTTTTATCATAATATGATCAATATGTGTAGCATAAATAGTGGTATCATCCGCGTACATCAATATATCATTTGAGACACCATAATAGTCATTCATAGTAACAATGAATAAGAAAGGACCAAGGATTGAGCCCTGGGGTACTCCATGCTTAACCGCTCGAGAGTTTGATTTATCCCCAGCCCAGGATACAGCCTAAAACCTATTTTAAAGGTAGGACTCAATCATTTTGAGCGCACAGGCTCCAACACCATACATTGAAAGCTTTTTTACAAGTAGGTCATGCGGCACACAATCAAAAGTGCGTGACAGATCACATAAAACAACAGAGGTTGACATTTTGTCTTCAAAAGCATTGAATAACGTGCAAAAGGGAGCCCACCGCAGTGACTGGGGAGTTTCCCCTACGGAAGCCGTGCTGAGCAGGGACTATTAGGTTATGGGTTTCAAAGTTATCACTTATCTGTCTTAACATTACGGCTTCAAATATCTTGCCTAGCACAGGTATCAGGGACCCCGGCCTATAGCTTGCTAGTACATTTATAGGGACCTCTTTAAACACAGGCACAGTTCTGGCTGTTTTCAGCACATCAGGAAAAATGCCTTCAAGAAGGCAACAGCTAAACAAGTGTGGCAGTAGAGCAGCGATTACATGTACAACCCTTTTGATAAAATCCGTTGACATATCATAAACATCTTTACTGCTAGAGGACTTAAGACTACTGACTACATGTGTTACCTTACTATTAAATACAAATTAATACAAAATATATGAACACAAATCTTGATACATGTTTATTTCTTAATAATGAAAGATAAACATTGAATTATTTACAGTGTGAAATTATTCCAGTCATATGATTAATATTAAAATAAAAGATAGATTTTTGGGATATATAACAATTCCTCCCTACTTATTTAAGAAGATCGTTCATTTATAAGTTCATCCTTTTAATCGGTTTTCTGATTCTCATTGAACGGCGAATGTTAGGGACATTTGGTTGTGAGTTTGCATTTGACCCTTCAGCGTCTTGTTGTATGATTGTACTCGGCTCTTCGGCCTCTTGTTGGCTGCTTGTACGATTGCTTGTACTTGACGCTTCATTGTTAGTTATAGGGCTTTTTGTCTCACTATCAGGCATTGAGTTTGCTGTAGGACTCGATGTTTCAGTGCCCGTAGTTCCTTCCCAGCTCGTGGTGCTACTTGAGACATTTTCTGTATCATGTGACCTTTCTGAATTGCTTTTTGATTTTCTTAACATGCCGTACCTTTTATGTCCCATGAATGGAGGTTGTCTTGAACAATTTTGATTGGTATTTTGGAATATTAAAGTTCGATGAGTTTGCGTAGGTGGTACTTTGGCTATTGGGTTGCATTGGTTGTTTGAACTTTCTTGCCTTGTTTGCTTCAATGAGTTAGGTAGAGGGCTTTTGTAATGAGTAGGATCTTTTGGCACTTCACAAACTCGAAGCTGATTGAAGTGACGTTTTATCACATACCCATCATCAAGTTCTACGAGGTAGTGAAGTCGCCCCAGCCTTTCCACGACAGTTCCAAATTTCCACAGAATGGATCCTGCGTAATTTCTTGATTGTACTCTCTCCCCAATATTGAAATGTTTGTTAAATATTGGTTGTTGGGCCTCATTTTTGTCATCTTCACTAGGCCTTAAGAGATCTAGCTTGGTTCTCAAGTTCCTGCCAAACATTAATTGTGCTGGGGATGCACCAGTACTCAGTGGTGTAGCTCGGTACCGAAATAATAGTGCACATAGTTTTTCATGTAAAGTGCCCTGTTCAAACTGCATGCACCTCAGTTTTGTCTTGAGTGTTTGGCAAAATCTTTCCGCCTGAACATTAGTAGAGGGGTTTCCTGGTGCAATGAATCGTTGTCTTATTCCTTGGCGTTTGCAGAATGCTTGAAACTCTGCTGATTTGAAAATTGTAGCATTGTCACTGACCAATATTTCTGGTAGGCCATGGTGACTAAATATTTCTCTCAGGTGATGAAGAGTACTGGCAGTTGTTGGCACACTTTTTATTGGATATATTTCTGGCCACTTTGACCTGGCATCTACAACAATCAAGAAGTTGTGATTTAGAAAAGGTCCTGCGTAATCTATGTGAACTCGCTGCCAATTGCGTTTTGGTATTTCCCAAACATGGGTAGGGGCCTTCTCTGGGTTTTTCTTATTCTCACAACATGCCTTACAACTTGCCACCATACTCTCAATATCTGTATCAATGTTTTTCCAGTAACAGTAGTTTCTTGCCAGACTTTTCATCCGCACTATTCCTACGTGTGTTGAATGTAATTCTTGGAGGATTTTAGGTTGTAGCTTTTTTGGAATGACAACACGATTTCCTCTAAAAATAATTCCGTCTTGAAGTGATATTTCTGGGTCAGCGACTTCTCCGTTTAGGAGCTTTTCCTTTAAACGAGAGAGTTCATCGTCAAGTGATGTTTCTTTTTCTATATCTTTAGCCATGATAGTATCGGTTGTTATGCAGTGTATTGTCTCTCTTCGAACAGTGTAATCTTCGTCAACCACATTGATATTCTCTTCTTTTATTGGCAAGGGATGTCTTGAGAGGTAATCTGATGCATTACAGTGGTCGCTTGATTTTTTGTGTACAATGTCATAATCAAATCCTGAAAGAAAATTAGCGTATCTAAGCATCCTGGATGAAGTCAACAGTGGTAGTTTCTTGTCTGGATGAAATATGGTCATCAGTGGTTTGTTGTCAATGGCAAGAGTAAACTTCCTTCCGTATATATAATCGAACATTTTTTTACACCCCCAATATACAGCAGTTGCTTCTCTGTCCAATTGGCTATAGTTGCGCTCTGCAGCAGTGAGGGATCTGCTGGCAAACACAATAGGCCTCTCTTCATTATTTGGCATTTTATGATAGAGTACAGCTGATAAGCCAACAGAGCTAGCATCTGTGGCAAGTATCACGGGTAAGTCTGGGTTGTATGGAGTAAGAACTGTGTCACTTGCTATCTCTTCTTTAACACGAGTAAAAGCTTTTTCACATTCCTGGGACCAATGAAAACGTTTGTCTTTCCTTAGAAGCTGATGTAAGGGATTTAGCACTGTAGATGCATCTTTGATGAACTTTGAATAGTACTGTACTAGTCCAAGGAATTGACGCACTCCTGTGATATTTGATGGGCGGGGAGCATCCTGGATTGCCCTCACCTTTTCTGGTGATTTCTGGATACCATCTTTGCTGATGATATGACCCAGATACTGCAACTTTCTCTCAAAGAACTTGCATTTTTCAACATTTACATGTAGATTGTGTTTTTCCAATTTTTCTAAGACCTTTATGAGTCTGGATTTGCATTCTTCAAAAGTGCAGCCTTGTACAACAATATCATCAAAATAAGCCACTGTTCCTTCAAGATTTTGTACGACTTGGTCAATAAATTTATGAAATTCATTTGGAGCTGTCTTAATTCCGAAAAACAGTCTTTTGGCTATATATGTACCCTTATGTGTGGTAATTGTCTGGATTTTAGAACTTTCAGAGTCCACTGAAAGATGTAAATAAGCCTTGTAAATGTCTAACGTGCAAAAATAGTTTCCATTCCTCATTTTGTTAAGGATATCCTCTATTCTTGGTATTGGGTAACGACTGTCATGTAGTTGTTGGTTCACAGTTACCTTGTAATCCGCGCAAATACGGACCGATCCATTTGCTTTTGGAATCACAACAATTCGTGTTCCCCACTCAGATTGGTCCACTTTTTCTATTATGTCTTCCTTTTCGAGTTTATCTAGTTCATTCTCAACAGCTTCTCGAAGGGCATGAGGTACTGGTCTGGGTTTTAAGTACATAGGTCTTGAATTATCCTTTAGTTTTAAAGAGCATGTGAAGTTGGGTGTTTTACCAATACATTGTTCAAAAACGCTTGAGAATCTTTGCTTGATGGATTTGATAACAGTGTTCTTATCAACCTCTGATTTCTTCATACTAACAAGATTAATATTGTGTAAGTTAATTTTCAATTTTCGAATCCAATCCCTTCCAAGAATAGCGTTTTTAGGTAGATTTACAATGTATAGATCTTCTCTGCAAGATCTCCCTTCGTAAGATATGCTTAGGGTACAGACCCCGATTGGTTTGAATATTTGTCCAGTATAAGATCGAAAAAGAGCACTTGTTTTGCAAACTGGAACATGTAAGTCTAGTTTCTTGAAGTCATCATTGTTTATTATGCTAACACGACTTCCAGAATCACACTCGAAACGTTGCTGTTTACCGTTTAGAGATACGTTTATCATCATTCTGTCATCTCGTTCGTCATTCTTTAATACATTTATGATCCGTTGGACGTCGTATTCATATTCAGAATCAATTTCATCAATTCTTTTTACATTTTTCTTTGAATACTGTAATTCCTGTATTCGTTTCGCTATACAAACCATTTCTATGTGTCCATCTTTATGACAATACCTGCAATTTAGCTCATCTATCAATCGGCAAATTTGTGTTTCATGGTTATTCCTTCCACAGTGCAAACAGACATCTGAAAATCCCAGTCTTTGTAGCCTTTTGTTTTTGTTGTCTTTCTTTTTGCTTGAGGAGTCATTAGAGAAATAGTTTTTAGTTGATAAATTGTTGTTTTTAGGTCCAATTTTGTTCTTTGTTGTTTTACTTATTTTGTGAATGTCATTCTGATTATTATTAGTATATAAAATCTGATTGTCAAGTTTTGATGCCTCTATAGCCAAGGCGATTTCTAAGGCTTTTTCAAATGATATTTCACCCAGTTGTAAGAGTTTTTCTCTGATGTCTGAGTCATATAAACCTCTGACGAATTGAGCCCTGAGCATAAGATTTATAACAGATTTTGTACATTTTCCTTCATTACACACAGATTTGAAATCTGCTGAACAAGCCAGTTGTTTGAGGTCCGTAACATAATTTGTGATTGATTCATTTCCATCTTGTAAACGAGATAAGAATTTGTGCTATTCTGTAAGTATGTTCTTCTTTGGGCTTAGGTGCTCATTTAGTAATATCAGTAACTCTTGATATGTTTTTGAGTCTGGTTTGTCTGGAGATGTTAGACTACAGATCAGATTGTAGTGCTTAGCACCTAAGCAATTGATTAAAAATAAACCTTTCAATTGTTCTGTCTCTGAATCCTTGTCTGTCAATCCTTTTATTTAAAAAAATATTTCTAAACGCTGAGTGTAGCTTTCAAACGTTTCCTTACTTTCATCATAAGCATCAAACATCAAGGCATTGCTCTGTAGTAGGTCCTTGGTACTATGTTTTGATCTAGGCTGTTCTGTCTGTTGACTTGTATGTTGTGTCATTAATGTCATAAAATTGTTCAAAGTAGATATAAGGTCTTGTATTTCAGTCATTTTCTTCCTCGTCACCAAATTATTAAATACAAATTAATACAAAATATATGAACACAACTCTTGATACATGTTTATTTCTTAATAATGAAAGATAAACATTGAATTATTTACAGTGTGAAATTATTCCAGTCATATGATTAATATTAAAATAAAAGATAGATTTTTGGGATATATAACACTTACCTTGTTACCTGGGACCTTTTTGAACACAGGCGCAGTTCTGGCTGTTTTCAGCACATCAGGAAAAATGCCTTCAAGAAGGCAACAGCTAAATAAGTGGGCCAGTAAAGGAGCGATTACATGTACAACCCTTTTGATAAAATCCGTTGACATATCATAAACATCTTTACTGCTAGAGGACTTAAAACTACTGACTACATTTGTTACCTCTAATGCACTAACCATTTTCCAACTCAAACTTATCATGTAGGCTACCCATGGGATATGGGCTAATCAAAATATAGTAATTGTTATCCTTTACTGGAATGGAGTCAACAATACCGTCCACAGAGTCCGAAAACAAATTGTTGAAATCCTCTGTGGTTGCAAAATTCAAATCAGTACCCGCTCCCGCCCTGGGTCTGCTCTGGTTGATCAAATCCCATGCTGTCCTACACGGATTAGCCGTGGTGGCAATCTTGCCCGCCGCCGCTGACTGCTTTGCCTCTCGCAGACAAGTGCGATACTCCTTTCTCAGCTCTTGAATGTAAGGAAGAGTGCTTGGTCTACTTTTTGAAATGTTATGGGCAAGAAGAATATATTTCTTAAATTCCGCAGGATCACTATTATGTGATCATGCGGAATTGCACTTTTTAACGCGCGGTTCACCGGTGTTACTATTTAGGTTAACTGTCTTGTTTCTCATAGGGAATTGAAAATTAATTGGTCACTAAAATGAGAGAAAAATTCAGAGAAAGTTGAATTTGCTGGAAGAGTACACAGTTCATTAAACCAAGCAGGTGTCAGGTTTGCAATGATGTCACGGAACCTTTGCAATCGTCCTTCATTCGTTAGTCCAAAATCCTAAATCTTCTAAAACACACGTTTTTAATTTAGGTCCTACCAAGTCTTTTTCTAGGGTATACCTAGGGTCATTTAGCTTCAATAACACATGCATATGATCTGCGACTTGATCTTCACCAACCGTGACTTCATAATTCCAGGAATCTAGATTAGTAATAAAAGAGTCTAAGGATGCCTTATTTCGAGTGGGAACAAAGACACTACTATTGAACCCCAAACTACGTAATAAGTTCAAAAATTCGGTTGACTCACGGCCGGTTTTAAGAAGATCGATACTATGATCGGTACCGATAGCAACAGCCAGGCCAAAAGAAATCAAAAGTCAAGCACTGTTCCAAGAGAACAAAAAACGTTCTAAAGTACTATTTGGGGAACGATACATCGCTACTACAATCAGTTCAAGCTCATGCAATATAATAGCTACGAACTCACCTGTAAGTTCTTCACAATAACTACTCAGATTGAGTTCTGTGAATTTTAGATCGGATTTAGTGTAAATGGCAACCTTGCCACTGGGATTGGACCTACAAAAATGAGTGGTGAGATCCAGATCACCCACACTTTTATAAAAATCGACTTCGTTAGAGAGCAGCCAATGTTCACAAACACACAATACATCAATGTTATTCTCTTGTACAAATCTCCTTGTTGCGACTCTGCACATTAATTGAACACAGTATAACATGTGCAGATGACTTCTCTAAGACTGGAGATGAGTATGACTCACAAGTGGTTTTGGCTAAAAAAAAGTCTGCGATCGAATAACTTTTAGTTTCCAGGTCTTGACAACAAATTCCCTGACCAAAGTCCCTACTGGCCAGAAACTATAATCTAAAACTTTCTCCTTGTCAGCAGGTTTTACACCTAACCTCGAAGACTTGTAGGAGTAACTACTGGTACTGTATTTAGGTTTCAGTTCAATACAATCGGTTTCAAGAGATGCACTTTCCATGTAGTTAGTAATATCCTCTTTACTCACATCAGAGCACAGCCTAGACACAAATATAGTCTTTTTTCTCCTCAGCTCGTACCCTAGACGCTTCTGACGGATCAGATTTCGTTCCTATAATTGGAGGTGAAGTTTGTGTAGCACCTTTCCTAGCACGATTACACCATTTTTTTACGGCGTTCTATTTTCCCTTGCTAATACCATAGATAAAACATACTCCCTTAGTAGATTTCTCATCCTTATGGAAGACATTTTTATTGTTAGTTCTGTACGGTTTATGTAGAGGTCGTGTTTTGTTTACAATTTGTTTCCCGTTATTACAGTCTTTTAAACCTTGCCAAATAATACGATCTAATCATAAACAATAACTTGTCCTTTAGTTTTATAACCAAACAGTAAAGCACAAATCAAGAAATTAACCCTAAAATAATAGAAACAAAATTTCGTCGACACTAGCGCCCAGTGTCGCCGTACATGAACTAGACACGAAAAACGTGCTTCAAAATTTACAATGGGATGAGAAGTCTACTTGTGTTGGTTAGTCTATGCTAAAACCGCCATTTCCCTCTTCACTACTAATGGATGGGAATTCGTCGCAATTGTCATAACCAGGCCTATTACCACAGTCCAACACTACACCAATTCCACTCACACGATTTGGCTCCGCTGAGACGGAGTGAGTATTGACTCTAGAGTCCGAGCAACTCGATCCAGATTGAAGGTCTCTTTACGTCCAACCACTACGGAGCTAAAAGACGCAACTTCATAAGTCTTCCCGCCGACCTGACTTCACTATTGACTTCGTCAGTTTCCTCTTTATCAAGCTTCAAAAGCTGGCATAACCTATCATTTGTCATATGGAAAATTTACTACTTATTTATCTTATTATTATCTTCAATTAGACTATATACAGATCCCGCCAAACTGTCCATACACCCACGCAGATTGAGAAGCTCGTCAATAATCCAAGCACTAGCGACCACTTTGTCCAGCTTCACAGCACATGGATCGCAGTACCATTTTACACTGTCCGATAATTCAGTTATTTTACTGTATTTATCATCGTCTAACTTCACACAACCAGGGTGATACCATCCATTACAAAAACCGTCACAGTAAAAACCACGACCATCGCGGTTAATTACTTTATCGCAACTTTTACACGGAGCAGACGAACTATCAGCACGACTCTCCTCCATGACGTCACGATCAACTTGCATATAACGAGTAATCATACATTAGTGTTAAAGTATAGTTGAAGAGATTAACGAACATCGCAAGCACATCAATACTGATAGGCCCTATATACTGATATCGGAACTAAAACAACTTTCCTATTAGTGGGGTTTATAAAATACCTTCTTGGTTCTTGAACCATTAAGGGCATAGAAAAGTTGTGAAAAATAACCAAAAGCATCACGTATAGATCCGATAATATACGCTCAAGGAAAATTTTTTAAAAATGGTTGCAATGGTTAAACCTAATGAAACAACAGTTTTAGAATATACTGTTTTGTTTTCACCGTAGTTTACTTACAGTGGAAGCTCACAGAAGAAAAATTACTTGGCACTGATTCCTAAATGTAAATTGGGGGAAGTATTTACCTAGATTGAATTTACACTT